CTTTTTTCCGTACAAAGGCGATATTACGGATATTTTACGAGTCTAGGGGGCTTTACGGGCCTTAAACGTCAATGCAACGGGGACCGTTTTGGGGAAAGTTTCTCGGCTGGTGGTGGGGCACCTGTGTGCCGATTTTGAACGAAATCGGGGGGGACCCCCCATTGACCCAAAATTTTGATTTTCCCGTACAAACTTTCCTATGGGGAAAAAGTGAAATTTTCCTGCAGGACTGTGTCTGGGTAAACGAGAGCTTTCGATTGATACCCATTTTTACCATAGCACCACTTTTTTTCCGTACAAAGGCGATTTTAAGGATATTTTACGAGTCTAGGGGGCTTTACGGGCCTTAAACGTCAATGCAACGGGGACCGTTTTGGGGAAAGTTTCTCGGCTGGTGATGGGGCACCTGTGTGCCGATTTTGAACGAAATCGGGGGGACCCCCCATTGACCCAAAATTTTGATTTTCCCGTACAAACTTTCCTATGGGGAAAAAGTGAAATTTTCCTGCAGGACTGTGTCTGGGTAAACGAGAGCTTTCGATTGATACCCATTTTTACCATAGCACCACTTTTTTGTCCGTACAAAGGCGATTTTACGGATATTTTACGAGTTAAGGGGGCTTTACGGGCCTTAAACGTCAATGCAACGGGGACCGTTTTGGGGAAAGTTTCTCGGCTGGTGGTGGTGCACCTGTGTGCCGATTTTGAACGAAATCGGGGGGGACCCCCCATTGACCCAAAATTTTGATTTTCCCGTACAAACTTTCCTATGGGGAAAAAGTGAAATTTTCCTGCAGGACTGTGTCTGGGTAAACGAGAGCTTTTGATTGATACCCATTTTTACCATAGCACCACTTTTTTGTCCGTACAAAGGCGATTTTACGGATATTTTACGAGTCTAGGGGGCTTTACGGGCCTTAAACGTCAATGCAACGGGGACCGTTTTGGGGAAAGTTTCTCGGCTGGTGGTGGGGCACCTGTGTGCCGATTTTGAACGAAATCGGGGGGACCCCCATTGACCCAAAATTTTGATTTTCCCGTACAAACTTTCCTATGGGGAAAAAGTTAAATTTTCCTGCAGGACTGTGTCTGGGTAAACGAGAGCTTTCGATTGATACCCATTTTTACCATAGCACCACTTTTTTCCGTACAAAGGCGATATTACGGATATTTTACGAGTCTAGGGGGCTTTACGGGCCTTAAACGTCAATGCAACGGGGACCGTTTTGGGGAAAGTTTCTCGGCTGGTGGTGGGGCACCTGTGTGCCGATTTTGAACGAAATCGGGGGGGACCCCCCATTGACCCAAAATTTTGATTTTCCCGTACAAACTTTCCTATGGGGAAAAAGTGAAATTTTCCTGCAGGACTGTGTCTGGGTAAACGAGAGCTTTCGATTGATACCCATTTTTACCATAGCACCACTTTTTTGTCCGTACAAAGGCGATTTTACGGATATTTTACGAGTTAAGGGGGCTTTACGGGCCTTAAACGTCAATGCAACGGGGACCGTTTTGGGGAAAGTTTCTCGGCTGGTGGTGGTGCACCTGTGTGCCGATTTTGAACGAAATCGGGGGGGACCCCCCATTGACCCAAAATTTTGATTTTCCCGTACAAACTTTCCTATGGGGAAAAAGTGAAATTTTCCTGCAGGACTGTGTCTGGGTAAACGAGAGCTTTTGATTGATACCCATTTTTACCATAGCACCACTTTTTTGTCCGTACAAAGGCGATTTTACGGATATTTTACGAGTCTAGGGGGCTTTACGGGCCTTAAACGTCAATGCAACGGGGACCGTTTTGGGGAAAGTTTCTCGGCTGGTGGTGGGGCACCTGTGTGCCGATTTTGAACGAAATCGGGGGGACCCCCATTGACCCAAAATTTTGATTTTCCCGTACAAACTTTCCTATGGGGAAAAAGTTAAATTTTCCTGCAGGACTGTGTCTGGGTAAACGAGAGCTTTCGATTGATACCCATTTTTACCATAGCACCACTTTTTTGTCCGTACAAAGGCGATTTTACGGATATTTTACGAGTCTAGGGGGCTTTACGGGCCTTAAACGTCAATGCAACGGGGACCGTTTTGGGGAAAGTTTCTCGGCTGGTGGTGGGGCACCTGTGTGCCGATTTTGAACGAAATCGGGGGGGACCCCCTATTGACCCAAAATTTTGATTTTCCCGTACAAACTTTCCTATGGGGAAAAAGTGAAATTTTCCTGCAGGACTGTGTCTGGGTAAACGAGAGCTTTCGATTGATACCCATTTTTACCATAGCACCACTTTTTTGTCCGTACAAAGGCGATTTTACGGATATTTTACGAGTCTAGGGGCTTTACGGGCCTTAAACGTCAATGCAACGGGGACCGTTTTGGGGAAAGTTTCTCGGCTGGTGGTGGGGCACCTGTGTGCCGAGTTTGAACGAAATCGGGGGGGACCCCCCATTGACCCAAAATTTTGATTTTCCCGTACAAACTTTCCTATGGGGAAAAAGTGAAATTTTCCTGCAGGACTGTGTCTGGGTAAACGAGAGCTTTCGATTGATACCCATTTTTACCATAGCACCACTTTTTTGTCCGTACAAAGGCGATTTTACGGATATTTTACGAGTCTAGGGGGCTTTACGGGCCTTAAACGTCAATGCAACGGGGACCGTTTTGGGGAAAGTTTCTCGGCTGGTGGTGGGGCACCTGTGTGCCGATTTTGAACGAAATCGGGGGGGACCCCCCATTGACCCAAAATTTTGATTTTCCCGTACAAACTTTCCTATGGGGAAAAAGTGAAATTTTCCTGCAGGACTGTGTCTGGGTAAACGAGAGCTTTCGATTGATACCCATTTTTACCATAGCACCACTTTTTTGTCCGTACAAAGGCGATTTTACGGATATTTTACGAGTCTAGGGGGCTTTACGGGCCTTAAACGTCAATGCAACGGGGACCGTTTTGGGGAAAGTTTCTCGGCTGGTGGTGGGGCACCTGTGTGCCGAGTTTGAACGAAATCGGGGGGACCCCCCATTGACCCAAAATTTTGATTTTCCCGTACAAACTTTCCTATGGGGAAAAAGTGAAATTTTCCTGCAGGACTGTGTCTGGGTAAACGAGAGCTTTCGATTGATACCCATTTTTACCATAGCACCACTTTTTTGTCCGTACAAAGGCGATTTTACGGATATTTTACGAGTCTAGGGGGCTTTACGGGTTTTAAACGTCAATGCAACGGGGACCGTTTTGGGGAAAGTTTCTCGGCTGGTGATGGGGCACCTGTGTGCCGATTTTGAACGAAATCGGGGGGGACCCCCCATTGACCCAAAATTTTGATTTTCCCGTACAAACTTTCCTATGGGGAAAAAGTGAAATTTTCCTGCAGGACTGTGTCTGGGTAAACGAGAGCTTTCGATTGATACCCATTTTTACCATAGCACCACTTTTTTGTCCGTACAAAGGCGATTTTACGGATATTTTACGAGTCTAGGGGGCTTTACGGGCCTTAAACGTCAATGCAACGGGGACCGTTTTGGGGAAAGTTTCTCGGCTGGTGGTGGGGCACCTGTGTGCCGATTTTGAACGAAATCGGGGGGGACCCCCCATTGACCCAAAATTTTGATTTTCCCGTACAAACTTTCCTATGGGGAAAAAGTGAAATTTTCCTGCAGGACTGTGTCTGGGTAAACGAGAGCTTTCGATTGATACCCATTTTTACCATAGCACCACTTTTTTGTCCGTACAAAGGCGATTTTACGGATATTTTACGAGTCTAAGGGGCTTTACGGGCCTTAAACGTCAATGCAACGGGGACCGTTTTGGGGAAAGTTTCTCGGCTGGTGGTGGGGCACTTGTGTGCCGATTTTGAACGAAATCGGGGGGGACCCCCCATTGACCCAAAATTTTGATTTTCCCGTACAAACTTTCCTATGGGGAAAAAGTGAAATTTTCCTGCAGGACTGTGTCTGGGTAAACGAGAGCTTTCGATTGATACCCATTTTTACCATAGCACCACTTTTTTGTCCGTACAAAGGCGATTTTACGGATATTTTACGAGTCTAGGGGGCTTTACGGGCCTTAAACGTCAATGCAACGGGGACCGTTTTGGGGAAAGTTTCTCGGCTGGTGATGGGGCACCTGTGTGCCGATTTTGAACGAAATCGGGGGGGGACCCCCCATTGACCCAAAATTTTGATTTTCCCGTACAAACTTTCCTATGGGGAAAAAGTGAAATTTTCCTGCAGGACTGTGTCTGGGTAAACGAGAGCTTTCGATTGATACCCATTTTTACCATAGCACCACTTTTTTGTCCGTACAAAGGCGATTTTACGGATATTTTACGAGTCTAGGGGGCTTTACGGGCCTTAAACGTCAATGCAACGGGGACCGTTTTGGGGAAAGTTTCTCGGCTGGTGGTGGGGCACCTGTGTGCCGATTTTGAACGAAATCGGGGGGGACCCCCCATTGACCCAAAATTTTGATTTTCCCGTACAAACTTTCCTATGGGGAAAAAGTGAAATTTTCCTGCAGGACTGTGTCTGGGTAAACGAGAGCTTTCGATTGATACCCATTTTTACCATAGCACCACTTTTTTGTCCGTACAAAGGCGATTTTACGGATATTTTACGAGTCTAGGGGGCTTTACGGGCCTTAAACGTCAATGCAACGGGGACCGTTTTGGGGAAAGTTTCTCGGCTGGTGGTGGGGCACCTGTGTGCCGATTTTGAACGAAATCGGGGGGGACCCCCCATTGACCCAAAATTTTGATTTTCCCGTAAAAACTTTCCTATGGGGAAAAAGTGAAATTTTCCTGCAGGACTGTGTCTGGGTAAACGAGAGCTTTCGATTGATACCCATTTTTACCTCTTTGTGACGTCATTTCTAGGGGAAAACGGGTCATAAAGGTTTCCCTCTACCGGGGCCTTTTTTCCCCCTACCGAATCTGTGCTGTGCTGAATCTGTGCTGAATCTGTGCCAACTTCCGTTACATCTTGGTGGTGGCGTCGGTGGGGTTAGCGGCGAGGAGTGGCGATAGGTTATGTAAGTTGTAGCAAGGTCTTTATATTTTTGAGCTTTTTCAATCAATGTTAAAGGTTTTTCGGAGTTGTTCAAGAGGATAGGTGCAAAATGTTGTTTGTATAAGTTCTCTAAGAATCTTGGTAGGTACGAACAGCGTCACAATTGTAGTAAAGGCTGCCCCGCACTGGACCTCGCATGCGGGTTGCGAGATTCCAGGACAAATCTTCGTATGGCATTTCTTCGTCGCGCAATTCTTCGTCCGCATTTCTTCGTCCGCAAATCTTCGTCGGCGCATTTATTCGTGTCGCATTACTTCGTCTCGCATTTCTTCGTAGGTGCAAAAATTAAGATTTGTCCGGTTACGATAGAGATTCCAGGACAAATCTTCGTATGGCATTTCTTCGTCGCGCAATTCTTCGTCCGAAATGCGGACGAAGATTTGCGTAGACGAAGAAATGCGTGGACGAAAAAATGCTTGACGAAGAAATGCGCCGACGAAGAAATGCGGATACGAAGAAATGCGCTACGAATTTTTGCACCTACGAAGAAATGCGAGACGAAGTAATGCGACACGAATAAATGCGCCGACGAAGATTTGCGGACGAAGAAATGCGGACGAAATATTGCGCGACGAAGAAATGCCATACGAAGATTTGTCCGGTTACGGGGTTGCGAGTTTGCGGGCATAATACTAATTCATATAGTGATTAGACCGTTCCCTTATGGTAACTTCATGAATGCAGTAAAGCCAGTACACCTTCAGAAAATTACATATAGTCGCAATACCAGCGCAACGAACCAAACCTCACAGAACTCGCAGACCTCGCAGTGAGGAAAATCGAAAGCTGGGCCCTGTTTCACCGGTGATAGCAGCACGCTGCTTTTACACGTGTCAAATTGGGTTTCCATGGAAACATCAACAGGCCCATTGCTCCAACACTACCATAAAACGGGGTGTTAAGGGACAGTTTTGAGGTGTTTTGTTAAATAACTCAAGAAGGGTTGGAGATAGAAGCATCAAATTGTCGGCATTTTATGTGGAATTTGGTGCTTTACATGCCTGCCACATTTAAGTTTTTAAGATTTATACCTGCATATTATTTTTATTATTTTTCATCACTGTCCCTTAGCACCCCAATGTGGGGTGTTAAGGGACACCTATATTATTCCAAGAAATGGTCATCAAATGCCCACAATTGGGGTGTGGAAGGGCACACAATTTATTTGTTGAAATGTTTTGCATATTCTGTCACAAAACAAGTCAGGTTCATTAACCACTAATGACCTTTTTAGCCAATTACGTGTAATGCAGTTTACGCTTCTGGAAAATGTGCTAATTATAAGGTAAACAGAACCAAAAAGTACCCTTCTGTCATCAATAAAAACCCATGTTGAAGCTAGTCACTTGTCATTATGTTGCCCTCTTTGTTTTAGCCTTTTTATGATGACATCACATTTACCTACATCAGTTTCCATTGACCCATCATTGTAAAAGAGAGGGTTGAGATGTTTTGTTATATAACTTAAGAAGTGTTAGAGATAAAAGCATGAACTTGCCAGCATTTTATGTGGAATTTAGTGTTTTCCATGCCTAGTGATAGAAAACTTAGTGAATTATATTTATATATTATTTTTTATTTTTTCTTCCCTGTCCCTTAGCACCCCACATCCACCTCAAAATATGCATGTATCCGGAAAAGAGGAAGAGGATGGTGAATGAATGGGCAGATTTGCACAAGTTTTTCAGGAAACATGTGCAATACATGTGACAATACACCTATGCATTCATTTTCCCTGTACACCCACTAGTTTATGTGGTACACACAGAGTTTTGGAGATGTTTCAATTTTGTGAAAATGTAGCATGATTTTCAAATCCATTTTTGAACCAACTCACTTGCATGAAAAACATACCATTTTGTCCTATGGTCAAGAACAAAACAGTGTCAACTACCTCACTGAAGTTTTTATTGAACCTTCTCAAATTAGGAAGTTAATATGACTCAAAGTTTTTCCCATGCCACTGTCCCTTAGCACCCCACTGTCCCTTAACACCCCATTTTACGGTACCACAAGTGTGACGTCAGCTCGCACAATTTGATAGCAGCGTGGTAGCAGCGTCCCGTGAAACACCGCCCTGACTCAAAATCAACTTTTGGAATGCGATGCAAGTTGGCTCGCATGCTAAAAACATGCAGACTCGCTTGTTGCATGGTGGTATGGGTTACTCAACATGAGAGTGTAGGTACCTATTTAATTTGGAAGAAACCCGAAAACAGAGAACTCGCAACCTGCATGCGAGGTCTAGTGTGGGGCAGCCTTAAGGACCTAAACTTGACATATACCCCTTGTTCACTGTTGTGACATTTATGTACCTAATCTGATAGCTCAGAGTTGCAATTTTGCAAAAAAAAAGATGGTTGAATTATAAATATTTTGTATTTCAGACATTTCAATAATGAACAACAATAAGAATGTGCCATCATCAGCAATTGATGCAAAATATACTGTAAACTGGGGTGACTTTGTTTCACTTTTGACCATTATGGTACAATATCTTCTATAGGTATCACTTGATATTTTACTCTGGAAACTGTTTCATCATATCAATTGGACAATTCTCTATCTAACTGAGTACAGTAAATTTCTTAAAATTTTTCATAAATATTTTTTTTTCTTAAAAAAATTGATCATTCTCACCCAGAGGTTGGGCTCACTATGATCACTACATTCAAATCACCTTATATGTGCCATAGGACCCATCAAAAGGGGCTTGTGTGATAAACTTACATGTTTTAATAAAATCAAAGGCTTTCCTTGACAAAAACCAGGGGTGGATTTTTATATTAAGTTGGGGTTGCACGTGCAACCCCAACTTTGAATTGTGCAACCCCAACATCGGTTTGTGCAACCCCAACTTTACAACTGAAATAAATCGGTGGGCGACTCGAATGGTGCCGCCCCCATAGCCCTGAGTCATCACAAAACTCTATGCCACCCGTTGACTTGGCACCATCTTTCAAAAGAGCCCTACCCATCATGTAGGCAATAGTCACCCCTCAACTATCTAGTGTAGTTGCCGCCTCCTCAGACCTCAAATAGGTGCCGCCCCCTCGAATGTAAGTGCCGCCCCTCGAATGTAGGTGCCGCCCCCTCGAATGTAGGTGCCGCCCCTTCAAATGTAAGTGCCGCCCTCTCGAATGTAGGCGCCGCCCATTAAATGTAGGCGCCATCCCCTCGCATGTAGGTGCCACCCCCTCGAATGTTGGTGCCACCCCCTCGAATGTACCTAAATGCCGCCCCTCGAATGTAGGTGCCGCCCCCTCGAATGCAGGTGCCGCCCCCCTCAAATGTTAGTGCCGCCCCCTCGAATGTAGATGCCGGCCCTCTTCGAATGTTGGTGCCGCCCCCTCAAATGTACCTAAATGCCGCCCCTCGAATGTAGGTGCCGCCCCCTCGAATGTAAGTGCCGCCCCTAAAATGTTAGTGCCGCCCCCTCGAATGTAGGTGCCGGCCCTCCTCGAATGCAGGTGCCGCCCCCTCGAATGTAGATGCCGGCCCTCCTCGAATGTAGGTGCCGCCCCCTCAAATGTTAGTGCCGCCTCCTCGAATGTAGATGCCGGCCATCCTCGAATGTAGATGCCGGCCCTCCTCGAATGTAGGTGCCGCCCCCTCAAATGTTAGTGCCGCCCCCTCGAATGTAGATGCCGGCCCTCCTCGAATGTAGGTGCCGCCCCCTCAAATGTTAGTGCCGCCCTTCTAATGTAGGTACTACCCTCCTCTCAAGAGCTTGAGCTGTCACAAGGCCGTATAGAGCTGTCGGACATGCAAAAATGACCAGTTAAAAAAAAATCGAGGATTTCGATTCCTGGTGCGCCGCTCACCGCTCAGTGGGGGGGTGGGGTGGGGGTGGTGCCCAGTGGAGGTCGCAGGGGGGCATCAGGGCCATGGCCCCCCAAAGACGAATCAGGGGCCATCATATAATTTGCCCCCTTAAACCACCGATGGGCCCCGATGGGCGTAGGGGCCCTGGCTCTTACCCGATTGTCACGAGGCTCAAGAAACCAACGCCAGGTATTATGTAACAGCCTCCATACCGGTCTTTGAGTATCCTTGACTTCTGAGGGCGCTTCAGTGGCCTTCAAGGGCCCACCTTGACCGATGAGGGCCCACATCGACCGATGAGGGCCCACGCCCCACATCGACCTCTCAGGGCCCTCCACTGGCCCTTGAGGGCCCTAAAGCGGCATCAGGAGTCCCCCAACCGGCCTTTGAGGGCCCCACACTGATCTCTTGATGGCCTCATTTCTGTCTCTGGGGTTCAGGACTGGCCTTTGGGTGCCGGTCACTAAGAGCCCGCATCGACCTCTGAGGGCCTCAAACTGGCCTTCGAGGGCCCTGTACTGGTCTCGAGGGCTCCCAAACTGGTTTCTGGGGGTCCACGCCTCTAATGGCCTCATTTCTTTTTCTGGGGGCCCAAGACTGGCCTTTGGGTGTCCCCGAGGGCCCGTACTGACTTCTGAAGGCCCGATGCCGGTCTCTAAGGGTCCACATCGGCCTCTGAGGGCCCTATGCTGACCTCTGGGGTCCAACACCGACCCATGCTGGTCTTTTAGGGCCCCACACTGAACTCTGAGGGCTCCACGCTGGCCTTTAAGATACCACACCGGCATGTGAGGGCCCACGTCGGCCTCTGATGGTTCCAAACTGCCCTTTGAAGGCTCTGTACTGGTCTCTGAGGGCCTCACACTGCCGTTACGGACCCACGCTGGTCTTTTGAGGGTCCAAACTGGTCTCTGACGGCCCAAACTGGCCTCCTAGGGCCCCACACCGTGGCTTCGGATGGCCCAATTTCTGTCTCTGGCGGACAAAGACTAACCCTTGGGCATTTCTGAGGGCCCGTACTGGCTTCTGAAGGCCCGATGCCGGTCTCTTAGGACCAACATTGGCCTCTGAGGGCCCATCCTGGCTTTTGAGGACGCTCTGTCCGGCCTTTTAGGGCCCCATACTGGCCTCTGAGGGCTCCACGTTGGCCTGTAGAAATCAAACTGGCCGCTGAGGACCCACGTCGGCCTCTAATGGTTCTAAACTGACCTTTGAAGGCCCTGTACTGGTCTCAGAGCCCAGAGGGCCCTAAACTG